ACCAAGATCATCACCGGCGTGCTGATCATGAAGATAGGGAGCATCATCGTGGTCGTCATAATAAGGATGACCCGGACAGCATTGCTCGAGTCAAGTTGAGTATTCTAAAATTTACTGGAAGAGAGGATGCAGATGCATATCTTGAGTGGGCTGAGCAGTGTGATCAAATTTTTAGAGTGCATAATCTTGCTGATCAGAGGCGTGTCAATCTTGCTTCAGTTGAGTTCTCTGGTTATGCTCTCACTTGGTGGAATCAAATATAGGAGAATCAACTTTTGTTGGGCCGAGAACATATCAACACATGGGAAGAGATGAAGCAAGTGATGAGAAGGCGATTTGTACCCTCAAGCTATTAGCGTGACCTTCACAATAGGTTGCAACTGTTGAAGCAAGGAAAAAGATCGGTTGATGAGTATTATAAGGAGATGGAGTTGCTGTTAGTGTGGGCTGGAATTAGAGAGGATCCGGAGTAAAAAAAATGGCAAGATTTTTGGGTGGTCTAAATGAAAAATTTCTGGTTTTGTTGAGATGTTTCCATATCATACTTTGCAAGATCTTGTTGATCAAGCTATGCGCACTGAGAGAAAAAATCAGCAAGAGATACGTGAAAGATCTTCTGCAAGCCATTCCATTGCAGCCCCATAGCGCAAGCAGACCTATACTTCTTTTTGTGGGGGTCGATCTCAAGGTGCTGCAGCAAGGTCCTCTCCATCCATTGCTCCTTCGAAGATGGCGGTTTCTACAGCATCATCACCTGCAAACCAACAACGGCCAACTGCAAGTACAGCAGCCCCAACTGTTGCTTCAGCTGCTACTTTCATTACACGTAGCGGAGAAATCATGTGCCACAAGTGTCATGGACGTGGACATGTTGCTGCATAATGTCCAAGTAGGAAGACCATGATTGTAAATGAACAAGGTGAATGGGAATCTGAAAATGATAGAGAAGAAGACATACAAGATGAAACTCAGAGCAATGATGGGAATGAGATCCAATCCGATGAAGGTGATAATAATTGCTTTATTTCTCTTCGAGTGCTTAGTGTTACTGCTGTGAAAGAAGAGCATGGACAGTGACACAATCTCTTCCATACTCGAGGCATGATCAAAGATAAGTTGTGTAGAATTATTGTTGACAATGGTAGCTGCAACAATATTGCAGGTCAGGAGTTGATTGATAGATTGGGGCTAAAACAGAGGCATCATCCTAAGCCATACAAGATGCAATGGCTAAATGATTATGGTGCGCTGCGTGTGAACCAAGTTGTGACAATTCCTTTCTCTATTGGGAGGTATAACGATCATGTGGAGTGTGATGTGGTGCCTATGCAAGCAGGCCAACTGCTACTAGGAAAACCATGGTTATATGATCGTGATGTTCAGATTTTTGGTAGAACCAACAAGCTGGGTTTCATGTACAAAGGAGAGCGAATTTCTTTGCTTCCTTTGACACCGGAGGAGATTTTAAAAGATGATCAAAAAAGAAAACAGCAAGGCGAGAACCACTTGCGAGTGACTCACAAATATAGTCAGGGAGTGATTCCAAAGCCAAATAAAACCCCACAGCTGCAAAGAACCAAGACAACGGGAAAAGAGGGATTAGTTATGATGGCTAGGAAGGGGGATTTAAAAGAATTGAGTGAACCCAATGCCATGTTCTTTGTACTCCTGTACAAGGAAAATTTTCTTTCCCCTAATGACTTATCCTCTACTTTGCCAAGTGTAGTTTTTAATGTGTTACAGGAATATGAGGATGTATTTCTAGATGAAGTACCACCGGGGCTACCACCAAAGAGAGGGATCGAACATCAAATTGACCTTGTTCCCAGTGCTTCACTTCCAAACCGAGCTGCATACCGCACCAACCCGGAGGAAACAAAAAGAAATTTAGCAACAAGTGGAAGAATTGATGAAGAAAGGGCATGTGAAAGAAAGTCTTTCACCTTGTGCTGCCCTTGTTCTTTTAGTTCCCAAGAAAGATGGTTCATGGAGAATGTGTGTTGATTGTAGAGCTATTAAAAACATCACAATAAGGTATAGACATCACATTCCTAGACTTGATGACATGCTTGATGAACTTAGTGGTGCTATCATTTTCACAAAAAATGACTTGAGAAGTGGTTATCATCAAATAAGAATGTGAGAAGGGGATGAGTGGAAAACAGCTTTTAAAACTAAGTTTGGGTTGTATGAATGGTTGGTAATGACTTTTGGCTTGACTAATGCAACAAGTACCTTCATGAGATTGATAAATCATGTGCTTAGAGCTTTCATTGGCAAGTTTGTTGTGGTTTACTTTGATGATATATTAATTTACAGAAAATCCCTTGATGAACATATCCGAAGTGTGCTTGTTGTCCTACGTGAGCAAAAATTATATGCTAACCTTGACAAGTGCACATTTTGCACTGACAAGGTAGTCTTTCTTGGCTTTGTTGTTTTAGGCCAAGGTTTGGAGGTGGATGAGGAAAAGATCAAAGCTGTTTGTGAGTGGGTGCCACCACAAAATGTGAGCCAAGTATGGAAGATCAAAGCTACGATTTATGAAAGATTTTAGCACCAGTGCGGCTCCAATCAATGAGTTGACAAAGAAAGAAGTGCCTTTTAAATGGGGAGAAGGACAAGAGAAGGCATTTGAAGAGCTGAAAATGAAGTTAACAACAGCCCCACTCCTTGCACTCCCAGATTTCGGTAAGACATTTGAAATTGAATGTGACGCCAGCAGTGTAGGGATTGTGTAACACCCTCGGTGTTACGCCCTAAACAAACTACTAAATCATGTCATGAGTATCATGTTTATGTAATAATGCATGTGATAGAAGGTGTTGATAAATTTCTTGGAGCCTAAAATGACCAATAAAAAATGTTCAATGAAAAATTATTCAATAACTCATGTTATGTCAAGTAGGGTGAAAAACCAATTTTTATTGAGCGAAAGTATTATAGAACATGTGTGTGACACCTAAATAAGGTTTGGAGTACAAACTTTGTAGATGACAATGCAACTCTTGCTGTAGAAAAATAATGTGACTAGCTAGTATTTCTATTGGCTTGGAAATAGAACTTGAAGTCAAATTCAGCTCAAGACTTGAAGAATTTAAGTTTGAAACTAGTGTGACAATGCCATGTTGGTGAATTAATTCTGGAAAATCTAACTAAAGGTCAAAACTATGTTTTTGCTCCTTATGGTAGACTGATGTACCCTCTTTAGCATGGTTGAGGTAGTTTAGCTTCAACTGTGTTAGGTCAGTTTTTAGACGCGCTTTTAGACGCGCTTTAAAATTCGTGCACGGCCTTTGTTGCTCTTCAGTAGTTGTACGCAGGGCTAGTTTTAAGTTTAACCTGATTCACTCAGAGAAGACCAAGTCTACACATAACATTATTTGTCTACTGCACAAGACCACAACTTAACTTTTCCAACAAAGGCAAAGCTCACACAAATCAACTAAACAAACTGAACACTAACGTTAAGTCCAGTATAAAACCAAATGCCGAAACGGGCCTACACCGACAAGGAGACACTTAGTACTATCATTATATCAAGCAGCTAAACGTTCTCTCTCCACAGTAAGAGGTATGCAGCAGTGACAGAACTACAAAGCCACAACGCTACTTCTCAGTTTCCAGTTCAATGATTCAGAAACAAACAAATGATCTCTGAAATACTAAAAGTTCACATTACACAACAAAGGCATGAAACACCGAAAAAGAAGCCCTGCGCATATTAGGCCCTGTTTGGATCTCATTATCATAGTGATTATAGATAGTGAAATAGAATCCGAATTCTAAATTAAAAAAAAAACGGTGTTTGCATCTCATTCTTACAGTGATTATTTCCTTCGCATTGTGAGAATCACCAAATTGCAAGGTTTGGGTAGACATTTGGATTCCAGAATCTCATTGCCAATCTCATTCTACAGTCTAAGTGGATGGATCTCAATCTCATTTTTTAGGAGATCCAAACAGAGTCTAATATTTTACCTCAATAATTTCTCGATGAAGTACTAAGCAAAATTAAATAGCACAGAATTTTTTTTCCAGACAATTTGATCACACACATAACATGTCACAAGATTGTGAACTGCTACATAATTAGTTTAAATCAGAGCAAGACATACCAAACAATCAAGCACATTCGATTAAGTTGAAAACAAAGGCACTTGAGCCTCGCGCATCAATCCTCAAGATTAGAGTATTAAGAGAGAGAGAAAACAGGACATGATTCATGGTTCCAATGGAAAACCAGATAAACTACACTAGTTAGCATCATTCACACATGTTTCATGCCCCAGGACAGCCGTCATGTATCAGCTGCCATTGCTGACCGCATCCATAGCAAAACTCATACCCGCACCTGCACGATCGAATCAGACAAGGACAATGTACTAATGAAATACAAAAGGTTGACTGAGGTCACGACGACGGCAATCAGATTGGTTAGTTTTCCACAGTGTAAACAAGAAGCAATTTTTACCTGCAGGTAATGTGCAGGCAGCCACTGGACTTCTCGACATAGAACCTGCAGCGCGGGCAACGCTTCCAGTTGCCCTCCCGGGCGGCCTTCACAAGCAGCAGGTCCTCCCGCGCGCGCTCCCCCTCACCGAGCCGCGCAAACTCCTCACAGGTCACGCCGGCGTGCCACGGCACCCCGCACCGCGCGCAGAAGAGCCGCCGGCACCCGTGGCACTCGGACTGGGTCACGCACTCCTCGCCGTCGTCGTCGGCCACCATCATCTCAGAGCAGTCCGGGAACGGGCAGTAGGTGCGGCGCGCGCCGAGGAACAGGGACTCGCAGAGCTTGGCGCACCAGCGCTCGAAGACCTCGGAGGGAGCGCGCCGCGGCAGAGCTCCGGATCGAGCGCGGCAGCGCAGGACGCGTCGGGGCACCGCACCACGGCGCCACCGCCGCCGCCGCCGCACTCGAGCTTGGCGCGGACGTGGCCGGACAGGCACGCGGGGCAGAATGCGTGCGCGCAGGCGGCGCCGCCGCGGTGGGCGCCATGGGCTCCATGCAGATGCTGCAGGGGTGGTGTTGCTGCGCCCCGTCGGCTCTCGCCATTCTGCCTTACGTGGGCGGCGCAGGGAAAGGAGGGGAGGGGAGGGGAGGCGAGAGGTCCCGCGAGCCGGTGCGTCGAACCGGCGGGAATCCCTCCGGCTCGCAGGCTTCCTTTCGCGAGAAAAATGACGAGAAGAATCTTTGCCGGCAACTTCTTTGAGCCTTTTGCCTGTATGGCACGATGCTTCGTGCCTAAGGCTCACGGGTACCAAGATATTTTACTTTTTTTTTCCCAAGCCATTCCGTGTGCCTCCTGTGTAGTTTTTGTCTATTTAACTACCTGGATCAATAAGAGAAAGCGTCAAAAAAATGTCTAAAATGCCCTTATATGCTAACCTTGACAAGTGCACATTTTGCACTAACAAGGTAACCTTTCTTGACTTTGTTGTTTTAGGCCAAGGTTTGGAGGTGGATGAGGAAAAGATCAAAGCTGTTTGTGAGTGGATGCCTGCACAAAATGTGAGCCAAGTACAGAGCTTCCTCGGACTTGTTGGTTTCTACCGATGATTTGTGAAAGATTTTAGCACCATTGTTGCTCCTATCAATGAGTTGACAAAAAAGAAGTGCCTTTTAAATGGGGAGAAAGACAAGAGAAGACATTTGAAGAGCTGAAAATGAAGTTAACAACAACCCCACTCCTTGCACTCCCAAACTTCTGTAAGACATTTGAAATTGAATGTGATGCCAGTGGTGTAGGGATTGTGTAACACCATCGGTGTTACGCCCTAAACAAACTACTAAATCATGTCATGAGCATCATGTTTATGTAATAATACATATGATAGAAGGTGTTGATAAATTTTTTAGAGCTTAAAATGACCAATAAAAAATGTTAAATGGAAATTTATTCAATAACTCATGTTATGTCAAGTAGGGTGGAAAACCAAATTTTATTGAGTGAAAGTATTATAGAACATGTGTGTGACACCTAAATAAGGTTTGAAGTACAAACTTTGTAGATGACAATGCAACTCTTGCTGTAGAAAAATAATGTGACTAGCTAGTATTTCTAATGGCTTGAAAATAGAACTTGAAGTCAAATTCAGCTCAAGACTCGGAAGAATTTTAAGTTTGAAATCAGTATGACAATGCCATGTTGGTGAATTAATTCTAGAAAATCTAGCTAAAGGTCAATGCAATGTTTTTGCTCCTTATGGTAGACTGATGTACCCTCTTTAACATGGTTGAGATAGTTTAGCTTCAACTGTGTTAGGTCAGTTTTTAGACGCGCTTTAAAATTCGTGCACGTCATATGTCTGGCCTGTGCGCACGGTCACCTCGTGCGGCCGCTCGGCGTCGCGAGGCTGGCTGCGTGCCGCACGCCGCGGTGCCGAGCTCAGTCAGCCTATGTGGCCATGGGTTGGCCGTGGCCAGTCCCAGCGGGCCGCTGTCTTCGCCCTACAGCCGCTGGCAGTTGCGCTGCTGCCCACCTCGCTGCCGCGCTGCTACCACAGCTGTCGCCCTTCTCGCCTCGCGCTATGGTGCTGCTGCTGTCCTTCTCGCCATCACACGCGTGGGCTTTTTCCTGCTGCCGGCGTCGTCGCCTCGCCGTCGCGTCCTCACTCTCTACAATTATGCGACGCTGCCTGGCCCTACCCGATGGCACTACCACTACCGCACGCGCACATGGCACACTCGCTGCACCGGCACGTGGCCATGCTCACAGCCGTGGTATCCCCATGTGCGCCTTAGCCTCGCCGCGACAGCCATACTCCCAATCGTCATCGTCTTTAAGCACGTCGTGCCGATGCGCAAGTTGAACCCCCTCCCTCCCCTTCCTTGTCGTTTCCACCCGACGCGATGTCGTTCAATAAATCTAGTAGGGAGACGTAACCATTGCCTGATTCATCACGTCTCTGGCTCTGTCTTTAAGCCAGCAAGGCGCCCGACCCCATTCGGCCATGACTGGAGTGCGGCCAAGCTCTAGTTTGGTATTTTCCTCACCATTGGGTCGTTATGGTCGTGCTCGGCTAGTGTGGGTGGCAACTCCCCTCGAAGCCGTTAGAGGCCAGCCCATCTATGCCTTAGCTTCGCCTCGATTCCCTCTTTGTCCTGCGCACCTGAAAGCTCAAGTTTGGTTTTGGTGAATTGATGAAACCCTAAGTGCTAACCTAGTTTATCAAGTGATCATAAGATAGGTCGCACATTCCAAGTGGTGAAGCAAATGAAGATCATGACATGATGATGGTGATTCCATGGTGATGATCAAGTGCTTGGACTTGAAAAGAGAAAAATAAAAGGCTCAAGGCAAAGGTATAAGTTGTAGGAGCCATTTTGTTTCGGTGATCAAGACACTTAGCGAGTGTGATCACATTTAGGATCGATAGCCGTACTATTAAGAGGGGTGCAACTCGTATCGAAATGTAGTTATTAAAGTGCCACTAGATGCTCTAACTCATTGCATATGCATTTAGGATCTAGTGGAGTGCTAACACCCTTGAAAACATTTGTGAAAATATGCTAACACACGTGCACAAGGTGATACACTTGGTGGTTGGCACATTTGAGGAAGGGTTAGGAACTTCACCGGCGGAGTGTCTACCCATAGAGTGCGGACAGTTCGACGGTGCCACCAGCGTTCTATATAGAAAAGACGGAGGTCACTGTAAGTGACCGGACGCTGGTCTCGGTAGGACCGGCGTGTCCGGTCAGTGGAAGCGTGAAGACGCTGGCGTCGGTCTTCGACCGGACACTGGGTGAGTCCGATCGGGCATCATGATTTTTCGCTTCTGGATGCTTACTAGAAACGACCGGACGCTGAGGTCCTACGTCCGGTCACTTCGAAGCAGCGCGTCCGGTCACAACTTAAATGTACTGATGGCCGTTGAGATCGAGTGATCAGCGTTTGAAGCAGGGGACACATTGCACACATCACGCGACCGAACGCTGGGGTCCAGCATCCGGTCGATCTGACCTGCGTGTCCGGTCATCCCATTTTTTAGTGGACTGAGGAGCCAACAGCTCTATTTCATGGAGGCTTCTATTTAAGCCCCATGGCCGGCTCAAGCTCACTCTCTTGGCCATTTGCATTGATAAAGCAACCTTGTGAGCTTAGCCAAAGCCCTCCCACTCATCTCCATCATTGATTCATCATCTTTGTGAGATTGGGAGAGAATCCAAGTGCATTGCTTGAGTGATTGCATCTAGAGGCACTTGGTATTTGTGTTTTGCTGCGGGATTCACTTGTTACTCTTAGTGGTTGCCGCCACCTAATCGGTTTGGAGCAGCAAGGATCGTTGAGCGGAGGTTGGTGATTGTCTCCGGCTCCGATCGCGGTGATTGTGAGGGTCTTGTGCCTTCCCCGGTGGAGCACCGAAAGGTAACTCTAGTGGATTGCTCGTGTCATTGAGTTACCTCACTTGTGGGTAGGTTCTTGCGGTGTCCAATTGTGTGGACGAGGTTCATGCAACACCTCTTAGCCACCAAACCACCAAGTGTTGGTCAACACAACGGGGACTAGCATGCCGACAAGCACGTGAACCTCGGAAGAAAATTGGTTGTATATTGCCCTTTGGTATTCTCTCAGTGATTGATTTAGTATTCATCTTGTGATTGGTTTACTCCTCTACACGGCAGTATAATCACCATACTCACTTATTTATATTCTTGCAAACAAGTTGTAGCAAGCTATTTAGTGTAATTAGAATTGAGAGCTTGCTTTGTTGTTTTAAGTTAATCTAGTGGAGCTCTTTAGTGTAGCAAGTGTGAGAGCTCTTAGTGAGTAGTGACATAGCAAATTGTGTGTCTAGAGATCATAGCAACTAGAATTGTTGGATAGGTGGCTTGCAACCCTTGTAGAGCTAGAGCAAGTTTGTATTTCACTATTTGTTATACTAATCAAATTGCTCTAGTTGATTTGTAGATTTTTAAATAGGCTATTCACCCCCCTCTAGCCATATTAGGACCTTTCAAGTGGTATCAGAGCCGTGGTCACCGTTTGATTAAAGGCTTAACAACCTCGGTGTTAAATTATGTCTCAAGTTGTGTTCAACCATGTGGGGGGCAAACCACCGTTATTTGATGGCACATGCTATGATTATTGGAAGAAAAAGATGAGGATGTATCTTGGTTCAATCAATGATCAAGTATGGGAGGTGACCGAGAATGACTTTGCTATCATTGATCCCGACAATCTCACCAACCAAGACAAGACCAACAAGCAATGCAATACTATGGCTCTCAACACCATATACAATGCCATTGATTCCAAGGTGTTTGAGCAAATCAAGGATTGTGAAAGAGCTAATGAGGTGTAGAGGAGATTGGAGGAAACATATGACGGCACACCGGCAGTGAAGAGTGCCAAGTTGTACATCCTCAAGGATAAGTTGATAAGCTTCAAGATGAAGGATGATGAGAGTATTCCGGAGATGTTCCATCGGTTGCAAGTAATTGTCAATGACTTGAAGGCTTTGGGAGAGAAGATCAAGGATGATGATGTCTCTCATCGGTTCTTAATGTGCCTACCTCTAAGATTTGAGATGTTGAGATTGCTTATCATAAGAGGAGGATTGAAGGAGATTACCCCTAACCAAGTACTAGGTGATGTCATGATACAAGAGACATACCGTGTGGAAAGGGAGGGGGATGACAAGGATGACATGAAGGAAGAAGAAGACAAGAAGAATAAGAGTATAGCATTCAAGGCTAGCTCATCATCATCCAAGAATAAGGGAAAGTCCAAGAAAGAATCAAGTGATGATGATGATCTTAGTGATATTGATGATGAAGCTATGGCCCTCTTTGTACGCAAGATGGCAAAATTCATGAAGAAGAATGGCTATGGTGCAAGAAAGAGAAGAGATCACACCAAAAGCAAAGAATATGTGAGAAGATGCTATAATTGCAAGAGCTCCGATCACGTTATAGCGAATTATCCCTACAATAGTGACAATGATGAGGATGAAAAGAAGAAGCACAAGAAGGATAAGAAAGAAAAGAAGGAGAAGAATGAGAAGAGAATGACCTTACAAAAGAAGAAGACAAGTGGAGGCTATGTGGTCACATAGGATAGTGATGGCTCTTTGGATAGTGATAGCTCTAGTGATGATGACAAGAAATCTATCAAGAAAGCACTAGCAAGCATCGCCATCAACAACAAGCCCTCAATCTTCGACACTCTATCGGCATGCCTCATGGCAAAGCCTACCAAGGTAAAAT